TTTGGGGGAATCGGCACATTCTTCTTTTTCAGAATTTTCATGATTATCATCAGAAATGGAGAAAAGTACTTGTAATATCCTGCTCATCAACTGTATAATCAACTCCAAACAAAGATACAATGAAGTGGGAGTCATGAACTTCACGGATATTAGCATAGAAATAGCTAATCATATTCGGACAATAAATGGTGGTGCGTTGTCCTACCACATAGCTTAGAAGGTGCATTAAGGTGAGGGGCCAAGTTTTACATTTATAATTGCCACTACTACCTTTCACTAAAATATAGTTAGGGCGAGTGGGGATTGTCCCAAGGGATTGGTGGGTCGTATAAGGTTGTGGAATCGAGATTAGGGTTAGTAGGTCAAGTGATCAAAAGATTAGTTGGTGATTGAATTATACTAATGTGCAATTTAAATTAAAGTAAACAATAAAATGCAATAGAGAGAATAAAAGAAAGAAAGAGATCTTGGGGTTTAGAGGTCACCACTAAGCATAGCTTTTCTACACCCTTAATGAATGATTAATGAGGGGGAAAACATGTATTGCAACAATAGTGTGTGTGTGTGGTTGTTTCAACAAACATGAATGACTAATTAAGCATATATTGTCTAAGCAACATAGTGGATAGCACAATATATCAAACTAAGCCATTAATCCTTTCTTTAAGCTCACAATCCAAACACATCACAAGGTTAGAGACATATGCTACTTGCATTCAAAAGTATGGAATATCAAACAACAAGCATGGATTGTCCTCCCATTTAGCATCTAAACTACAACTACACTACAATTAAGCTAATGACATGAAATTAAACTAATTAAACTAAGGGAGAGGCACAATCCATCAAGAAATGAGTATGAACCATCAAATAAACCACAAGAGCAATCTTTTTTTCTTTCTTTTTTTTTTTTTTTTTTTCATAATTGGGTTTGTATAAAAGAAAGAAAAAGTATTTACAGTCGCACAGAGGGCATTCCCTCAGAATGAAACAGAAATGGAAAAACCTATTTCAAAAAAAGAAATGAAATGTAAACAAATAATGCTAAATAATGTCCCTAGGGGGACATTATAAACATCAAGAACTTCATATAAAATTTGTCGAGCCACCTCAGAAGTGGACCTAGAACTGTGGTCATGAAGTCTTCGATTTCTCTCTTGCCAAATACCCCAAAGCCCAGCAACTAGCATAGTGTGAACCATTTTGCTACTCTGCTGCAAAAACCAAGTCAACAAATCATCCATTGAGTTCAAAAGAGTAAAATCAGTCCTCCAATCAAGAGTGTCTGCCAACCATTTCCAGAAATTCCTTGCAAATGGACATTGAACAAACAAATGATTTCTGGTATCAATCCCTTGTAAACAAAAGAACATCTTGGAGCCAACTGCACCTTTCTTCTCTGCAAATTATACATAGACGGTAGTCTATCTTGGAACAGAAAGATACCATTAACTGACCACCTCGGTCTAGCTTTGCCCCAGCAAATTTTAGACCAATTAACCTCTGGATTTATGACCCTACAGCTTTCCCACACATTTTTTAATGTGAAATTTCCTCCATCCCAAAGTAACCTATCAGTTCTAGAGTGAATTGTCAATGTACACAAATAATCTCTAATAGGTTTAAAAATATCCTCCTGTAACAATTCAAAATTCCATCTACCATCAATCATTAGTTACGACAATGATGAATTCCATGTGAAACCCAACCTTCTGACAATTTTATAGCCAAATTTCTGCAATAAAGTCTCCCCCTCACACCAAGGATCTGATATAGCTTTAAAGAACTGCCCATCACCAATTGAGAAATGAATTGCATTAAAGTTTTTCTAACATTAATCATGTTCTTCCACAAGATTGAATGTGAAATCTTAGGAATAGCATTCCAAAAATTAGAAGATGTTGTATACCTGTGATGAAACCAAGATATCCAAAGCCTATCCTTGCTTAATAGGAAATCCCAGGCCAAGACACACTGAGAAGTGACCTGCAGATCTTTCAATTTCCTGATACCCAAACCTCCCTCATCTTTGGGCCTGCACATCATATCCCAGCTCAAGAGATGAAGTTTATTCATGTTTTCCCTGCTTCCCCAAACAAAATCTCTACACATCTTTTGAATTTGATTGATGACTACTAGAGGAAGTTGAAAAACGCTGCACCAGTAAAGACATGTAGGAGTAATAACCGACTTGATCAGCTCAGTTTTACCTGTAGTAGATAACAGCTTAGTACTCCAATGAGAGAGCTTTTTGGAGATTTTATCAATAAGAGCATTACAATGGAATTTTCTGAAACCAGTAGAACTCAATGGTAACCCCAAATATTTGAAAGGAAAGACATCCTCCTTGCATTGAAGCATGTTCAAAATTGATCTCTTTCTTCTGGCAAACTCGGAAAAGATAACACTATTTTTCTGATAATTGATATGAAGACCAGCAGCATCCCCAAAAATCTTGAAAATATGCTTAAGTGTTCTAGCATTAGAAACTGAAGCTTTGCAAGTAATCAAAAGATCATCAGCAAAAAAAGTACGACAACATGTGGTTTTTGCTTTCAAGGCAGTATTTGACAATGTAAGTCTCCCCTATGAAATAGAAGTATTAATAAGCTGAGATAATTGATCAGCTACCAAAGTAAATAACAGAGGTGAAAGGGAACATCCTTGCCTTAATCCTTTTAAAGGTTGGATAAAACCAGTGGGAGATCCATTCACAAGAATTGAGTATCTAGTGGAATGCAAAAGGTTACTAATCCATTTGATCCAAATAGGACTGAAACCAGAAGTGATAAGAGTCTTCAAGAGGAAACTCCAAGAAACTGAATCAAATGCCTTAGTAATATCAATTTTTAAGGCCATGATAGGATGTTTGGATTTAAATTCACTAACCATTTCGTGTCCCATAATGATTGCATCTTGAATTTTTCGGCCTTTAATAAAGGTACTTTGTTCCAATCCCACCAAATTAGGAAGATTCAAAGCCAGTCTAACAGCCAGAATTTTGGAGATAATTTTGTAACTGAGGTTGCATAAAGCAATAGGCCTGTAATCTTTAGGATTGACTGCATTTCCTACTTTAGGTATCAAAGTGAGGAAGGAACTGCTCACCCCAATTAGAATAGAACCCTCAATGAAAAAATATTTAACTGCTGCACTAACTTCAGGTTGGACAATAGACCAAAATGATTGATAAAACCTAGCTGGGAAGACGTCTCGACCAGGGGCTTTATCTGGTTTGAAATTCATAACTACAGCTTTGATCTCTTCATCTGTTATAGGAGCATCTACAACCAATTTGTCATCAAGAGTTAAGATATGTCTTGGAGTAGCTTCAAATGCACAAACAGTATTATTCTCTTGAAACAAGCCTTGATAATAATCCACAAACACCTTTCTTATCTCATCTGTTTGAGTTTTTACCTGTCCAATATGATTTTCCACAGATGTAATTGCATTTAATTGTTTGTGCTGCTTCATCTTGGAATAAAAGAAGGCTGAACATCGATCATTATCTTTGAGCCAATGAATTCTGGACTTTTGAGCATATAGAATCTTTTGAGAAGATAGAGCATCATGGTACTCATCCTTAGCTTGGTTCTCCTTTGTAAACAAATCATTTGTAGGATTATCAAGGAGTGATAATTGAACATCTTTTAAGGCCTGTTTAGACTTGTGAACCCTCTCTTCAATATTCCCAAATGAATTCAAATTCCAAGCTTTGACAACAACCTTCACATTTCTGAGTTTTTTTAGAAGTATATGAAAGGGAGTCCCAATGATAGGAACTTCCCAAGCTTTTTTAATCATCTCATAAATACCCTCTTGTAAGCACCAAATTTTTAACATCTTGAATAGCTTTGGACCACTTGCAAATTGTCTAAAAATATTGATTATTACTCCATAATGATCAGAGGAGGAAGAAGCTGAATAAGAGATTTTGGTACCAGTAAACATCTGTAACCATGGGTCATTAGTAAACACCCTATCAAGCTTTGCCAAAATTCTTCTGTTGCTTCCTTGTCTATTGCACTAGGTCCAATCACCATTAGAGGCAAATATCTCAAATAAACCAGCCTTCTGCAAACAATCATTAAATTCATCAAGAAGCCTTTGAGGAACCTTTTTACCTCCTTTTTTGTCTGAATGAAATCTTGTAGCATTCCAGTCACCAACCACAAGCCAAGGGCCAATAACAATTGAGGCCTGAGAAATTAAGTGACTCCAAAGTCTTTTTCTACCTGCAATTGTATTAGAAGCGTAAACTGGAGTACAATAAACAACCTCCCCAGTCTGTAAAATATGGACTTTAAGAAGGAGACATTGATCCATCTCATTTATCATAGTCACTGAGAACATTATTGGATCCCAGCCAATCCAAAGTTTTCCTAAAACATGAGAATTATAATTGTGGATTCAACTCCATCTCCTCTTAATATTTGCTGTAATAGCATCAAAATTGGGTCTTCTCACCCTTGTTTCTTGAAGACAGACAAAATGAGAGTCATTGGCTTTGATCTATTGTCGAACCTCTCTTTGTCTCCTGGGCTTGTTTAAGCCCCTCACATTCCATGATGTGATCATTTAGTGGTGTGGAGTAGAGAAGCACCCCCTTGACTCCTAGTAACCATTGGTGAAATCCGAGATGTAGTAAATTTCTTTTTGGACTTTTGCTCACTTTGCGTAACTTTTGGAGATAATGCATTTTTAGATTTATCAATGTCCTCACAAGAATGTTCTGTACTTGGATCAGTCAGCACCACCTCTGGAATATTACCTTTGTTAGCTTGTGGTCTTGAGGAAATTTCAACCTGCAATATGGGGGTCTCTACTATCATAACATCTTGTTGTAATTCTTCTGAATTAACTTGCCCACTTGGAGTCTCTACAACCACTTCCTCTGATATATTGTCTATTACATGCTCAATAAGGGTCTCCTCTACCACAACCACTGATTGATCTGGAATAGGTGTCTCCGCAACCATTTCCTCTTCTGCATCATCTTATTGTAATAATTGAAAAGTGTTTGAAGTTGGAAGGGAAATAATAGGTTGATGAACTGTATTATCTCTTAGAGACGTTTCTTCAAGCACCTCATCTACATCTTGAACCACCAGTTTTCCCTTTTGTTTCACTACCCATTTATCCACCAATTTTTTCTTCTTCGGCTTTGTCTGTAGAACTCTTTGAGGACAATGACCAGAAACATGATCAATTTTCTGACAGAGTGTACAAATTTGTGGCTTCCATTCGTATTCAAATTCAAGAACACAATCAACCCCATGAATATCCACCTCCATAGTATCAGGTAATTCTTCCTTGACATCTACTTCAACCATAACTCGAATATATCGACCTTTCTCCCTATTAATTTCTGTATCATCCATATATATTGGCTTGGCAAACGATGAACAGATCAACGAAACAACTTGTGTTTTCCTGCAGTGCACTGGGAGATCATATATCTTCAACCAAATTGGGACCGTTTCCAGCACTTCCTTCTTGAGATTAACATTCTTACTCCAACGTTTGAGGATTATAGGTCTTCCCTCAAATGTATGTATTCGTGACAAACCCTTCGTGACATTTGTATCATCATGGAATCAAACTAGGAAAAATCCATCTTTAAGATAAAACAGAGTAAAATTCTTAGACCAATGTTTTTCCACATAAGATTTAAAGTAATGATAATAGGGTTTCTTCCCCATCACATAGCCAACCACTGATGAAGACCAATAATTAATTTCATTTGCGACATCATCTTCTTTGATCGATACCTTTGTTCCACGAACTGCACTGTGATACTGCAAGTTCTTAAAATTTGATGCGGTTTCTGTAAAGAGACGGCACCAAGAGGTGGGTAAGGACGTATTCCGGTTTGGAGAGCCCACCGGCGGGTTAGGGGAGGAGGTTTGGCCCACCTCCATCACATTGAATTTCGTCCCGGCCACCTGCTATGCATGCAAACCCTAAAAAAAAATCTGAATTGCTTTAATTTCGTGCAATAGTGGAAGAAAAAAAATCACCACAAGAGTATTCTATTAAGCACTATGTCTTGACAATCTCTAGATCTATGGCAACAATACACATAGACATGCATCAATAACACAAAATCTAGAGACAAACACATGAACATCTATTCTAGCATACATAAACATATGGATAGAATGAAATAATCAATTGAAAGTATTAAACCATACAAATCATTGAATAAACAAGATCTATGTATATAACAATGTCAAAACATGTATTATAACACAAATCCCCTAAAAAATACACAAATCAAGATATAGAAAGCATGCTTAGGGCTAACTCTAGCCCCAAGAGGATGTCTAGCCACTCATGGATGGTGTCCTCCAACCCTCAAGGGCTAACTCCATGGAAGAAATTGCTCCTCTTCTTAGTGGATGGAAGAACTCCAAGCTTGTGTCTCTAGCCTCCTCTCTTCTTTTCTTCCTCACTAAGATTTGGAAATTGTATCAAAAATCTTTCTATCTCTAGTCTCTCTAAAAAAGGTGCCTCTTATTCATTATATAGGTAGGTTAAAAGTCACCCTAATGGTCTAGGCTCGGACTCCAACATTCCTCCAATGATTGGCTATGAGACAACTTTCAATGAGCTGGATTTTTGTCTTTTTTTAGACTTGAGGAAGTTCGATCGATCGAACTTTGGATGAGATCGATCGAACATGGCTGAGATCTATCGAACTAAGGCTGGATCGATCCTCTATGGCGGCGCCTTTTTGGATAAGGACAAATCTGAGATATTTTGGAGATATTTTTCGGAAAGAGACAAAAGTGGTAGGTGTGGTGGTACAACTGGATAAGATGGAATCTTTTCGATCGATCGAAAGAAAGTTGGATCGATCGAACATTGTGGGATCTTTGGATAATGACAAAATAGCTTGGATCCATCTTTAAGTGCTGAAATCGATAAATGTTCCCTGATCGATCGAACCTGCTGAATTTCCATCCTTTGCTTCCTTTTGCTCCCACTTTGCTCCTTTCTTTGATTTATCTCAAGATTGCTTCAATTATGTTCTTATTTAGCTAAATTAGCTTATTTTAGGGATAAGTACCTGAAAATAAAAATAACACGAAATCAATCTAAAGCGGAAAAATAAAATAGATAAATGTTCTAGAATACCTAAGGTTAAGGGGTTTAAATACGCACTTTTTAACGCTCATTACACCCCCAAACTTAAATGTTGCTAGTCCCTAGCAATAAACTAGAAAGTAAAGGAATGAAATGAACAACTATACAAGTATGAACTAGAAAGCAATAAATGGATAATGCCACTTTCGTAGGGAACACGATTGCACTTAGCACATGCAATAAGCCTTTTAAACACTTAGGTTGCCCCTAGTGGACGAGTGAAGTCTCATGAGGCGCATTCTCACAAAAGAGGCACCAATATTGCAAACAAGCATTGGGAGAAAACTACCTTAAGTATGCAATTTTTCAACCATTTCCAAGTAATCTCCCAAAATCTCAACATCTAGCAAACAAATATGGTCTTCCACACATCAAGAAAATGATCATGCAAATCAAAACAACTCTAGAATTCTTTTTGAGTGGACTGGCATCAAATGTGTTTCTATCTAAGCCAACTAGAGAAATGATCACATCCTTACCCTCAAACTAGCACACAAATCTAGTACCGATCATCAAGACAAAGAGTGGACCTTTTATTAAAGCTTTATTGATCTAGGTGCGCTTACTCTTTTCACTCGAATTTTTTTTTTTTTTTTTTTCTAATCCTAAGGATCAAAGATGGAAGCATGGTGCAATGTGTTGATCTATTAAGCTTTCTAGTGATCCATGAGGTCGAACGTTAGGTCAATGACTCTCAAACCAGACGGCTTTAGGGCATTAGGTGTTCAAACACCCCTACGGATTTACAAGCTCAAATCAACTTGGTTACAAATCAAGACAACCTCCATCTAATCATTTCATACTTCTTTCCTTTTGGGATTGTGATATGAGTTTATTCGGAAAAGATTAGTGGATTCTTAATTTTTTTTAAAAATCAAATTCTTATTGGTGCACCCAAAAACCGATCCGATGCACAACCAATGTTTATCAAAGTGCAGTTTTCTACTATTACATACACACATTTGTGTGTGCTTATATATTTATAATCCATATGCATGCAACGTATATTTTTGTAGGCAGACTGATATAATTTGTGTGCACTTTTCATGTACTCTGTATTTGTTTTGGGCCCCAATGTGCAACTTTTCATGGATAAAGATTTTTATGGTTTGTTTCGAGTGGGCTCTTTGTTATGCCTCATTTTTATTTGGGCCTTGGTCCTTTCTTCTAGTTAGCTGTGGGCTTTAGCCTATCTTTTCTTATTCCTGGGCTGAGGGCTCTTTTAGTCTTTGTTGTGTGACTTGTATCTTCTATATGGTTTTCTTCCTTAATGGCAAAAAAATAAAAAAAATATAGTTCTCTACCATCAATAAATTTCATTTGTCCAAAAAAAAAAAAAAAACATTATTATTATTATTATTATGATTATTATTGCCTTCCATTTTTTCACTTACATTATTATTTTTTTGTTAAATGATATAATTATATTTCAAAAAATATATTCACACTTGACTACTAAACCTCTGTAATGGACATGGTCCTTTCTAAACGAAGAAGTCCAGAATTTGAAATGCGAGTATGGGAAACAACTATTTAAAATAATAATAATAATAAAAACTAAAATTATACTCCACTTTTTGAAATGGGTTTTTCTTTAACCGCTTATTTGGTAAGCGTTTTACATATTTTTTATTACTATACAAAACATTCAGCAACAAAATGAGTACTTTGTTGCTGAATGTTTTGAATAGTAATAAAAAATATGTTTAGTGACATCCATTTATTGCATGATTTTTGGAATCAAAAAATGAAAGCATGTATTGGTAAAAAAGTATTGCAAGTTTGAAAATATAATGATTAGTTTTAAAATGTCATTTAAGAGTTTTTCAAATATATATATTATTTATCGTTATTGTAACAAACATTACAGTGTAGAAATATGTAAATTCACTAAATTAAGGCATGTTTGGAAGGCCAAAATGTTTTTGGTTTTGGTTTTAGGCCCATATCTTGTTTGGTGTGGGCTGATATGTTTCTGAACAGGTCCATGTCGTTTTAAGATTTGGGACAAAATCCATATCACCAAAATGGTGATATTGGGTATTTTCAACACTGTAGCGGCCATACCAAAAGCCCAAACCAAAAACAACCGGTCCAAACCAATATCAAGTTACACTGTAGCAGCATATCACGCATAAGACCTAATTTTAGAAACCCTAGCTTATTTCTGCAAAAAAAAATCTCTCTCTTCGTCTTTGCACTCCGGAGGCGACTGAGGGGCGATTCGCTTGAAATGAAGGTTGTATGTTGTTGATTTTCTTCAAGATTGACAAATCCATTATCGTTTTTTGCTTTTCTTTGCTGTAATACCCCTAATTTCAAAAGGGATAAAAATGGAATTTAAATTTTATTTTTGTGCATATTAAATTGATTTTGTATCTATACGCTTATGTGTCCAATTGTTTGTTTATTTTAATTCATTGTGTTATTTTTTTTTTAATTGTTTGTTTATTTTAATTAAGGGTGTAATTCTTTATTTGTTGGTTTATTTTAATTAATTATTTTATTTATTTTATGTGTTTTAAGTGATTCGTTGCTTGCTTATTTCATTTAATTAATGGGTTTTATTAAATTAATTATTTATTAAGTATTTAATTTTTGAACAGGGTAATTATGTAATTCCCATTAACTAGGGTTTTAGATACGTTCTAGTTAGGGTTTTTGGAGTCGTCTCATACGCATCTGATATGTAACTAAACTGGGTTACTTTGTGGGCCGACGAAGTTAGGGCTCTGTGGATTAGGGTTTTAATTTTGCAATTATAAATACCTCAGTATATGTTAAACCTAGGGTTACATATTGTCGTAGCTTTTACACGGAAAAATCTGCCAAATAGAGAGAGTTACAGAGGGAGTTTTAGTGAGAACAGAGCAGTTTGTGAGAATTTCGACTGGGGTTCCAAGGTTTAACCAATGAGAAGGAAGGAGCAGAGGTTCTAGGAGGTTAGACAAGTTTCAGTGGATGTCGGAAAAACTGAGACCAACGGCAACAAGGGTTTGTTTGCAAACCTATTTAGGCAAGTTCTATCTTCCTCTTTCCCTTTGAGCCGTGTTCTGTGCACCTAGATATGCTCTAGGGTTTTAAGGAAATTGACAACTAAATCATTCATGTATGTTATACATCAAATTAATCATATGTATGCTTTGAATTATTTCTGTAATGATTTCTGCAATATCTGTTACAGTGCATGCAAGTTGGTTCAGTTTTATGTCCTTTAAGCATGAGGGTTCTT